ACTCTATTACAAAAGCTTTTTGAATGAAAGCTCCCTCCGAGCTTGACAGAACGAGGGGACTGTTTTACCGTCGCAGTCTGCCTACAACGCCATCTAGTAGCGAATAGAGCAACCAACCCACCCTCCAATTAAGTGGCTTCTAAAATTTTTAATCAATAATTTTTTTCTGCACAATTTTATGCTTTTAGAAGAAATTATTATAGGATTACACTTTTAGAAACACTGTTATGAAAGAAATGCATTCAAGAATGTATCTGAAGCGACAAAACAAAAGAAATCGATAAAGCGCTTACCTTTTATCCGCAGTGCAGGATGCGTGTTTTAGTCACTTCGCGAAATATCTAATAAAAACAGTTGCCTCCATTTGCCAATAAGCATTAGCCTATTGGCAACAAGAATATGCAACCAAAAACTTTAAATTATCACTGGGAAACGAGAAATGATTTTTTAAAACAGAAACTCACGGATGCGGGTTCTAATCAGATTTTCCCTAGCGACGAATGGACGAAGCGACATCTACGGAAAACTTCTACACTAGTAGTCTGGCTTCGAGTCCATTTTAGTTTAATTTTTTTGCACTAGATGGCGTCAAAGTGGCGTTAGGGGAGAACTTTTGTCAGCATCGTGCTTTAAAATTTCCAAGGACTTTGAAAAGATGTCGCGATTTTAAGATTCGTGCATCGTATATTTTTAAAAGATTAAGCTTTCTTTTTTTTCAAATATTTAAAATATGACGAAGATGGTTGAATTTATTACTAAATAAATAATAACAAATTATTATGTAGTGACAAAACATTAACAAAAAAAAATTCAAAGAACATAGACATATAACAATAATTTAATGATTTGATAAATATAGGTATATATAATTAAATGAATAAACTGGTTTGCTCTCTGACTTACCTAGCAGTTATTTCAGTTCACTCGTTAGTATAATGAATGAAATTATATGTTTTATAGCCGCATTACATTTTTGTATATACATTAAATCAACCAATTGTGGGAGAGCCATGCTTCGGCACGAATGGGCCGGCTCGACCGAAGTGATACCACGGCCTCACAAAAAACCGACGTGAAGCAACGCTTGCGTTGTGTTTCGTCGTGTAAGTGAGGTTACCGGAGGCCCAATTACCCTCCCCTTCCCCAATCTCCCCAATTCCTGAATCCCCAACGATCCTCAAACTCCTAATCCTCAAAAGGCCGGTCACGCACTTGTAACGCCTCTGGTGTTCCAGGTGTCTATGGGCGACGCCAATTGCTTACCATCAGGTGATCCTTCTGCTCGTTTACCGGCCTATGCCATAAAAAAAAACCATCGATTTAGTTAAGGTATTTTTTTTTAATTATTCATGCCAGTTTCAATAACTAGTGAAACAATTGTAAAACCTGGAACGCAGGTTCCTATAAAAGACCAAAAAAAAACATCTTAAATATAATGCCGTAACCTCTCTTTTCTATAAGGTTGGCAACGAACTTGTGACTTCTATGGTATTGTCCATATCCATGACCAGCTAAATTCTTAACATTAGTTGATAAATCTGCTTTTATGACCAGTGGAGTGGAAACCTACATGGAGCCCAAAAAAAACAGAATGAGACCGTATCAAGACCTATTGTCTTACTAAGCAGCATTTTTTACCGACCATCAGCTATTATCTCATATGTCCTATAAAGGTGATTCGATCATTAAACATAATGTACCGCGTTCAATAAAAAACATACTTTTGTGTGTTACTTACGTGCAAAGTCCAACGGTGTGAAGCAATGATTGATGAACAGTTCGCTCGATTGTATTCTTCTCTGATAATATTTTCTCAGTCTATTCCGAATGAATTTGTTCTTATAGAACATTTTACTTTGACAGTTTTTGTTATTAATACTTTCGTTAGCTGTGTGGTTTTCATTTTGGCGCTGAAATTTCTTCAGTAGTTGGTAGGTATGCCTTGGAAAACTATGTCTCTTTCAGGGATTTTGTCAGAAAAATACTACTACTTCACCAGTTTTTGGCAGCTTTAGGCGAGCTATTCTGTAAAGAATCTCACTGACTTAACTAAACAAGTTTGTCGGTCGGTTCATTAGACTGATTTGGGTAAAAATATCATTGAAGGAAATTCTTCATTAAAACGTAGTTTTTTATAGCCACTGGTCCCTTTGGAATTTAAGTTTCCGATTGAGTTGGCTCCGATTAAAAAAGAAAATCAGGGTAAATATGTAGCATAAGTTAAATTCTTTCTGATTATTAACTTTTGGTATGCGAAAGAATATTATAAAGTCGATGTAGTTTTTTTAACCTACTCATCACAACCGCTCAGAATATTAGTATGAAAACCAGTTTTATATTCTTCTCAGCTCTTTCATCTTGCGAACACAATGACCTACTGGTGCAGTTACACATTCATACTTCAATTAGTATACAAAAGTTCAATCAGAGTAGTTAGCGATGTTTCAATGACCGTGAGCTGCATTCAGGACAGATAATAACAAGTTCCTGAGACGTCTGGACTGCATCGAATATTTTAGCTAGTCTGAATCATGTAATCATAGGTAAGTAACGATTGCTTAAACAGAATTTTTCCCTTTGTTTACCTCTATAGAAAATTACTGGTATGGTTAATATGTTGTAAAGAAACTCGATCATCTTTGCTTCTTCCATGATTATATATCCAAAGAAGAGTAGACTTTTGTTGCTTTTAACTTTTCAAAACATCTTACGGTGTTATTGTTATACTGGTTCTGGGTTTTGAATCAGGTAATTACACATCGCTCATTATATCATCGTTTTCGTTCATAATGTTAAGTTCAGTTGTATAGAAGTCACAAGAAATGTTTTCTAACCTAACGGTATGAGGACAATCATAAATATTCTTTAATATTATTATCCTTGCATTTACTCATAACTAAAGTGAAATCTTATCAGTCCTGTCAAAACAGTGTCGCAGGTAAGTACAATCAGCTTCAAAAGTAGCTCACATTAAATTTAACAAGAAGTAAGCAATAAATAACAAAATTAAGTTACTTGATTTATAAAAAGAGTAATGCTGCTAGTTATTTATAAAAGGTGCCTGTTTTTAATAACAAAATAATTTAAACTATTTTGATATGATGATATGATTGACAAGCAGTACTAACACCATAAAATTACATTTTAAATCGGTCAATATTTGAATTACTATTTTCAACATAAGTTAGGGTGAATTATTTCTCTAGATGATAACAAAACCCAAAACCATAATTTTCCAACTATCACACAAAACTTTAATTAACTTTTTCACAATAATTTTCCAATTGTTACATCATCAAACGTAATAATTCCACTAAAGTCTTCGACTTTTGCCACAGACTGTACTTATATCGCGATATGAAATATGATTCGCGACTTCGACACACCTAATGTGAGGTGCATCATGGAGTGTCCACAGAGGGGACAGCAGAACATTAATAATATTGTTCTTTGTAACGTGACACGACCGATACACATCTCTGTAATACCATTAATGTTTGTATCTTTAAAATTCTTTAAATTACCTACTACAAAGTTTTATTAGTTAAACTTAACCTACCTTATATTTGTGAAATTTGTGAAAACCAGGTGAAAATAGGAAGAAAAATACAACGGAACCCTTTAAGAAAAATGTAATTAAAACGACTAGAATGATAATATTGTGGTAAAATTATTGAAAACTCAAATTAACAAACTGGCAAATAAATTGGTTACCACGACAAACGTATCTGACGAATCTCAAACAAAAGGGGTGGTTATGCACTCAACATGCCTTATAAACCGATCAAAATTTCTTCAACCTTCCCAACAATATTGTATCCTATAATTTTATCAATTCATGTTTGGAAAGTATAACAATTCATCAATTCTGGTTGTCATATTTATAAACATCAATGACAAGTTGTTGCGCCTACTCTAACCAAGAATATGGTGTCGCTCTTGATAAATTGTGAAGTGCGGTTAAGATTTTGCGCTGACCATAATGTTGGGGAAAATACTGGAGGAAAAGCTAAGTCTAAGTCCAAATGTATTAATACATGGTTATTGGGAAATAGTTTGAGATTTCCAGTTTTAATATCAATTGTTTTTTGGCATGTTCGTTCCTATAGAGGTATATTAGGTTACCGGCATAAGCCAGGTAAGATTGTATCATATCACTATTCTACGGACGTTTTGGTCAAGTAAAGTCTATACCTTTTATACCTTAGCCATAATGTATCCAAAACATCAGAACCACAACCGCAACATAGGCACGGAACAATCGACTCTTCCATATCCAGCAATTTGATCGTTTAAACCTTTCAGTGGCAGCAACGATATCAAAACATTCTATAGAGCGAAATATTCTGACAGTATGATTTATAGGACCAGCCTCCGACCTACAAACTAAGGCAACCTTCACGTTTTCCGACACTCTTTTGTTGGCACGTGGTAAGCTGCTGGCGCCCTCGCAGGTTCGGCTGTCATGTCATTGCTAAACTCATTTATCATCACTCAATACTGCCATCAGCCTGAACGGGCGTCTCTCTGGCGCTCGTGTTCGAATAGTTCAATACTTTCTATTGGTAACGATAATATTGTGTTTTAAATGTTACTAACTATTTGTCATCATTTGTTTTATATATGTTGTCAGGATTGTTCAAAGGCTCTAATGGTCTCGTTTTGATTTTATTGTGTGATTTTTTTTAAACTTTCTATTTTAGAAGTTTGTTTCTACACGAAACTTATATTTAGTTGTTACCTTTTTCTATAATAGTATTTTTTGTCTCTTTCATAATATACAGTTAATAAGTTCAATAACACTACATAGTACAAAACAAAGTTGTTATCCGCCGTCTGTCTGTCTACGCAACCGATTTTAATGCGTTTTTTTATATATATATAGTGATTCTTAAGGAAGGTTTATATGTATGCATATTGCTCCCGTGCGAACTCGGGGCGGGTCGCTAGTTCTGAATAAAACGCTTTCATATCATCATAATTTATTTTATCTTCTTCACCAATTTTTCAAATTTAATACACTTTATTAATACAATACAATAATTTAAATGATCAGTAGCATACTTTACTAGAGTCCTCATTTAAACTGGAATGAACGATAAACGTTATTTTATTAGTTAATAAAGAAATAACATAACTAAATTAGGAGGAAAATATTTTACAAAATGATAGAAGACGGACAATAGGTCAGGCCACATTCTATTGCACAGATTTTTACAAAAGAAACATTATGAGAGAAGTTATTTTACTTAAGAATTTGAACATTATCCTTTAGTTAATACTAAGTTATCTAATATTTACAAACAATAAATAAAGCAACAAATGTACCAATCAAAGAAAATAAGCATTACAAACATACTCCATGAAATAAAAATCAAATATACGAACTCAAATCGCGCTGTTTTCACTTAAGAATTAAAAATTTAACAAAATATCACAGTTGACCACGACGTTTTCTAATAAAATGTGACAACAAAACTTTAAGCGACGATTTATAAATCATGAGGTCATATTATCGAACATCATTAATTTATCATTGGACGTTCTGACAAGGTTAAGCAACGTTGCAACACGTGAGCTATGTGACACGGCCGTTAACCTTGTAAGGGCGTCTGAATCAGAACTGTAATACCTCAATACATGCAATGTTTTTACTAACAAATGATAATTTTTACAAAACTTTAATTAAATTCAAAACAACCGAAGACAGATAGACAGTCAAAAAGAAAATATTTTAATCACTAGCATTATTTTAAGTACATTTTACAAATACGACATTAAAGACTTTAAAGTACGCAATAGAGCCACATGAAATTTTTAAATGGTATCGTTTGTGGAAACTTTAAAAAATCACTAATTTATTTACGTAATAACTTTAACTATAGTATGTATTTATATTGTGATAAATACTTTGTTATTTACAAACTAAGGAGAGGAACATAAAACAGTTCGAGATACATACTGATATATATTAATTTTTTTCACCGTACCTTCTACATGACAAGTTATTTACATTAATAGGAAGAAATTACCTATTCACAATCTATAACTGAGCTTACTTCTTTAAGTTTCACAGCGCTTTTACAAGCCCCCTTCTAATATTCGTTACTAATAATGAAATGTCCTAAATAATTATAGTATTTTCTGATACATTTTGTCTTTAACAATGTAGTTCGTACATCGTTACACTATCCCTGTACAATTCCGAATTTGTTTATCCTTGTGATGACTACATCTGCCGGTTATAAAGTCTATCTTAATTCTATCAAAGTGTCTACGATAGAAACACGACAAACAAAACTCCGAGCAGCGTTTAGCAGTTCATTGAGTTATTTTCCTACGCAACAACTGTTTGAAATAAAAACAATGAAACGCAAACGATACCAGAATTTTCATGTCGCACTATTTAATTTTAGACACTCTCTAGTCACCACAATGTACATAAATCGGTATTCAGTTGTTCATATCTTACAGTTTTACGAATAATGCAAATCGATACAGCTTATGACTAGGTAAAATTCAACTCTACTTTAAATTTTAACACCGTTGTAGTTAATGTTTACATTTAACGTTTTTGTGATAAGGAATTGTCGATAATTTCCTTCCATGCGTTAATATAGGTATGGGAAACTGGAATAAACTTTAAATTAGGTTTTATACTCATGTTTTTCACAATCACCACTCTCTATGCTCATCACTCCTGTCCCACGGTATCTTGCCGCACAATCACTGTCTTCGTCACTTGTAACGTCACAATAACAATAACAAAATTAGACTACACTTACAGAAATTTTTCGAACAGCGAATAACTGACCCAGTCTGGTTGCTGTAACATCATTGTTAACCAAGATATTACACGCAACCCCGCGATGCGGACGACTGTCTACATTAATAAATCAGTTATCCGCTGTTCGAAAAATTCCACTGATCCTATGCGGAGAGATGCGCGAACTGGCTCGGGTGAAGGTCGAACTGGTAGGGGTGGCCGTACGGATTCATATGGTACGGCACAATGTTCATCGATGCCATCTTGTGCTCCTTCTTCCACTTCATGCGGCGGTTCTGGAACCAGATCTTGATCTGGCGCTCAGTGAGGCAGAGTGCGTGCGCAATCTCGATCCTTCTCCTCCGCGTTAGGTACCGGTTGAAGTGGAACTCCTTTTCCAGCTCGAGCGTCTGGTACCGGGTGTATGATGTTCTCTGACGCTTTGTTTCTCCGTTGGCGTTCACCGTACCTGGAACAGTTAAGTAGTTCATTAGTATGACTTAAATAAACCACGATTTAGCACACATTAGCTGTATAAGTTCGTTAAGTATTATTCTGGTCACAAAACGCAAGGCACGTTAATATTTAGAACTGAATGTTCGTTTGAGCGCCAATGAATAGTTGGCTCGATCGACTTCGTGCCTTGCCACGCTTGCTCGATTGTGATATACAACTCGCGGTAACATGCTCAGCGAAGAACAAGATTTCTATTCAGAAATATAAACACTATTGTGCAATTAATTTTAATTTATTCCCCTGAGCTGTCACATTTTTCTTAATTTATATCTTGTTTCGCGACGCACTACGACACCTTCTCTAATGATTGTTTTGGCACATGCTTGTTCCTGTTTGCGGGTACAAACCGCAGCCAAGATAAACTTTTAGTTCAGTTTATCATATGAGAAATATGGAGCTGAAGATATTATTGCATATGTTTACTAATATTAAACTGATTATTTTTATTATTACTAACATATCAGGCATGACTGAGGAATGTTTACTTAGAAAGCATCTAAAGTATGAGATGCAGTTAGTAAATGAATATCAAAGGGGGAGTAGCGAGTGAGCGGTATGGCGGCGGCGCGCGAGTCATGGGTTGCATGCCGCACCTGTCACGGCATGTCGACGGCACGGCCCACCACTTGGTCCGGCTTGGACGGCCGCCAGTGTTCTCGTGATAGATACGCAGCCCGTCTCGGGTGTGTCTACCAAATTAAACTGCGCCATTTATTATATTTCTTTAAGGAGATTGGTCCACAGCACTAATGAGTGGACCACATCATTATTATTAACCTACTGAATCATGCTGTTGTAGTTGTATCGTTACCTTGTCCTAATAATACCTACATCGAAGCATGCAGGAGGGATAGTTATGCTTTGATACATTTCGTCAATGTAATCATCTATGAACTTCGATGTATAAAGTTGGAACATATATAAATTGATGATAGACCAAAACTTTGCTAATTCAATAGACTAGACACAATGAATACTACACACACAGTATGATGATTTTGGTAATGTAGACCCAGAGCAAGTTACCAGTATTCTCTCATCTCAGTTGTCAAACCCGCGTCAATAAAGATGTTTAAACAAGTATAAATATTCGATTTCGTTCAAGTTTAAAAGCGTACGAGTGAAGCTGCAGCAAAAACCGAGCCGATTGAAATGTTAGTGACAGGCCGATGCACAAACAACAGACGTACAGCATTATTTTAACATAAATAATCCTTGTACGAAACGAATGGATACAATACGGGAGCATTTGAATTTCAATATGAATACAGGAATACATTGATGTTGATTAAATGGTCACATCAAGATTATAATTTAAATGTGTTACAGTTCAAGTGATAAGCTATGTGTATGGAAATATTGACAGGTCCTTCATAAGAAATGCAATCAAAGATTTAATGCCAATATTATAATCGCATCTAATATGAACCCAGATAGTGTTTAAGCGATAGGTACAGAACCTTAACAGCGTCAAACAAATGAAGTGGCCTAACTGGCACACCAGCATCAGTTTTATTTTCTTTGTCAATTTGTAATGCATCAAAATGTACAGTCCATAATGACAATGTTCATTGCGAAGCGTCTTCTGCGATATATTATTAGAAATCAAGAACAAACACTTAAGATCACAAATAGGTACGAGAACGCTTTCATCTTGCAACAATTATTTGCGCAACCACTATTCTGCAAGACAATAATGTATCCGTCAGTGATCTAATACTTGCAGTAAGAAATACAAAAACAGTAGTCGTCTTTTTATCTAAACTAGATAATTCTAGGTCACAGACCATTGATATTCCGTCTACAGAGTCTAGACATATTGCATGGTCGAATTTTAAATGAATGACATCGCATTGGTAATCCAATGGATGAGACTTGAAAATTTGAAATCTAAAATAGGCAACGTCTGGAGACAGTATTTGATAAAACGTGATATTCAGATGTAGACGATGTTTAATTTGGCAATGCATTAGACGGTACATTTCTTTGGGTAATAAAAACTGTATTGAATTTGTTAATAATGTCTACAATTAAATTAATATTGATGTCCACAGTAGCTATATTTTTATAGTATACATATTTATTGGCTTCTGAACTACTAGCTTCTTCATTCAACTTAACATCTTTAGCATAATTAATAGCATCAATAACAGAACTAAAATTGCTGTTTATTTGTTATAAGAGACTTAGACACACTCTGATGTAACTCTTAACTTCCTCTGATAAATTACAAAGTTACAATCTTTTATTGTGTTAAAAAGACATTTTAATTTTATTCACTGTTTTCACAATTTGATTAACGGCATTACCAAATTTTAGTGACATCATCAGTATTTTTGTATTTTTCATTTTTCTTCTAAAGATTTTGCTGTTGTTCATTACAAAATTCTCCACATCCTGTATGATTTATTATTTAACATCAAAAATAATCTGGACATGAAATATAATCGGCATTAACAACTAAAACATTTATTGTATCAAACGCTAGGATTCTTCAATCACCACCCGTACTCGCTATAATATGAGCTCGACATAAAAACAGTTCGAGATCTAAGATCAAAGCAATGACTAATGATATCTAGATGAGAACCGAGTACGCAATAAAAATGTCACAAATATATTTTTATCTGTGGTCTACATAGGCCGTATAATTGTCGATTGTATCGTTTGTGTATTCACACTATTTTCTTATAATTAATTGGTGCACAGCTTTGTTGCTGCTAATTGACTTGGGTACCTTGATATAAATAGAATGACTTAGTGCTTTGAAACTGGGACGTTTGAGTATTTTTCATAATTTTCTTAATATTTTAGTATCATATCATTTAGTATCTGACCGAAATAATCGTGCTTACCTGCTTTTAAATATTTTCTTTTGAGAATTTTATGAGAGTTTTCTTGTTCTAGTCTGTTTAAAGTATTGCGTTCATCCGTAACGTATAAATTAATCTTGACGTTAATTTCAATAGCATTATTCCTATGTATTTTTTCAAAACATCTAAATGCTAGTGCAAAATTTTCATATAGACTATTCCAATAAACTTTTCTACACTTTATTAATCAGCTTCTATTCAAGGGTTATTTATGTGATACAATGTTTATGTTGCTTCAAGCATTGTAAATATATTGTATCTAATTAGTCTTTTTTCGAAATTTGTTACTAGATTTTATATACCTGTGGGTATTGCTTCAGTTATATTTAACGTGTAGGTATAGACTTGCAAAAATACTCTTTGTGAGTATTCGTCTGGCTTACAAGGTATAGATAATTATCTCGACTTCAAACAGAGCAGTTTGTTATGAATGAAACAATTATTATCATCCCCTTTATTCCAATAAAAATTCTATCGATGTGTATGACATTATAGTTTTATTAGTAGGTTAAATCGATAGTCTGCATGACAATCCTATTAGGTAGGAAGAAGAATTGAACAGAATGTTAGAGAAAACAATATTGGAATGGTTCATAGAATTTGCAATCATTATAACACTTCTTCAATTTTAATAATTCTTATTTTAACATTGGTACTTGTTGCGCTTGCTTACACTTACCTACTTTCATTGATGCTCTAATCCGTATTAGTTGATCGTTGCAATGGTTTGGTACTGTAATTTAATATGCACTTATTGTCTCTTCTCACCACTCGTGTTCCTAATTAATGATAGTATCATCAGAATCAGCTCAGAATCTAATCATTATGCAATTTACTAAAACATTCAGCAGCAGTCTGAACCACATCTTAGAAAACGGTCCTAGACCGTCATCGCAGTAAAAATCAAAATAATTCAAATTGGTAATGTATCTGTAACATCAGCTGCAGCAGTAGAAGTTCATTGAGCATAAAATATTATACAAAAAATCCAGATATCTATATCGAGGTAGACAATTAAATCAGTTGCCATGTCGTCTAGGCTGAATGAATAACATCTGCCCATTACAAGCAGTCGGTGCATCGACAAGCAGGTCATCCGGCTTCACACACACATCTAGACACATTAATCATGAATGACGGGTGAATTCTGAATTTGATACCTAGACTATAAAAGTGAACTATGCTTGTGGATGCGTCTCTTTGTTCTGTTCTCTTTCTATTCTATTATTTTATGTTTCTTCTTCTATTCTGCTATTTTGAAATAAAAATTATTGCATTTGAAAAGATTTGTTTTCTGTTCAGCTTCCATCAGAGCTTTTAATTTTTTGGTTTGTTTTTTTTTTCTATACCATTTTTGATAGATTTTATCATGTGTTCGGTATTGAAAACTTTTTTAAGACAGAGATTAGCAATATCGTTGTAAAACAGAATAATTCGTCAGAACCTTGGACAAATTGGTTACATATGTAAGACCTAGCCACACGTGCAGTACAAGGATGCATTGTTATGGTGGAAAAATCCAAGGTTCCGAAATTGCGTTTTAAACATTGCTCCCTCATTATCATATCTAACATAGCTACCTATTTGAAAATGAACTATTGAGTTTTATCCAGGTTAAAGATGATGGGTATATTCAACTGCTTAATTCTTAACAGCTACCTTGTGATAAATGAAAAGTATTTTATTATATTTTCACTTCTCTGTTTCTTCAGGCAATAACTTCAAGATATTTTACTATTTTCGTACAGAAACTATTAAAAATAAGGAAGCAAAGCTACCGTTGTGCTTAATTATTGAAATGACATTCTACTAGTGACAGCAGAATTTATACCCGTTTGAGGCTATAAAAAATGAATATCGTTTTATTTCAATATTTTTCAAAGCGTGACATTTTGGTGGGAATATTACCATAAGATGGTAACCGGAGCAAATTCACCTGCGTTTTGAAACAAAGCGCTTCGTCGCGCGCGCATGTTTTGACGTATGACAGACATGCGCAAGGTGGCCTCAGGCATATTCTTATACTGCCTTCCTGTTCCTTACTGCTCACAAACTTATATTTGCTGCTACATAAAAACTT